GCAAAGAAAACAAAAATATATTCAAAGTTTGTGGAAATTTATGGAATGTATGCGAGTATTGTAACTTATAAACGAATCTCTATGTAATATTGTAGAATATTTGTTTTATTCTTCAAATTTATGTTTTGTATATATGTATATACGCTACATATAAATCTATAATTACAAATAAATCCTTTTAAACATACATACCATTGATTTTGTAAGTTAAACGCCATAAGAAAGTAAATGTGTTGCAAATTTAGACTCCGTCATACACCAAATCTAATTCTATTACTCTATAATAGTACACAATATACATCATGTATGTTTGTGAAATTTTAGAGTATACTTTATATCTGAATACATCATTATTGAAATAAATTTTTTACGACCAAGCTCAGCTTAAAATTTTACAACAACCATAATAAAATTTTAACGAAGTAAATATGAGCTACGTCATTACACATTGATATAACAAATTATTTTGCATTTGTTGCTATACTTGTATAAAACGATTCGGCCTATATTAAAAGGCCTCAAATTGTTAACAATTTGTTTTTTGCCATCTTATTGTGTCTCGAAATCATAAATTCCTTTTAAATTTAGCAAGCATAGAAAGTGGTTTGCTTCTGTAGCAAACTAGTATTGCTATTTCTAGAGAAAAATAGTGTAAATGTCAGTCTGATGAAATAACTTTCAAAACAGTAAGTCAAAATTGAGACCTATATACGTAGATTTTATGTGTACATTCCATTGCATAAGTCCTAATGCATACCTTCTAAGGACTTGCACAACATCAACTTCAATTGAAAATCGCTTTTATTAAAAAGGCTTTTTTTAAAAACTTAATATTATTTAATGGAAATATGCTACTTTACAAAACATTAATTAGATCCGAATTTATGACTTAAAATACGTAAAAGATCCTAATGGCTTTAAGAATTTTGTTTTCTTTTTGAGCTTAAAACTTGAGCTTGAAAATCAAAAAATTTATATTAAATTTTATATATACATATATGTATACTCGCTTTGAACTGTTAAAAAGAAAGCGGATCAATACAATTATGCAATGAAATCATGTATGAGTACTTTCAATAATTAAAGCGGATTAAGTTGTCAAGTTACGATTCTAAATAAAAGATTATCATTATTAATTTTTTTTTCAAATATTTATGAGAGTTTTTCATATGGAAAATCTCAAATATAAAGGCGTCAAATATTTCTATATGTATAAAACCTATACGTATATAGGTTTGTAAAAAATTCTTAAAAAAAAATTGTTTTGTTTATGTACATACATTATGTGTAAAATAGATCTCTGTAACCTTTCATCATTAACAAGTGCTTGCATAAATACGATACGAATAAAATGTGATTTTATATTTTGATCCTTTTAATTGGAAGTTTTTGTATTTTCCGTTTGAGTATTATGCTATGAAGTAAAACAATATTGAAGTTGAATTGTAAAAAAGGTCGATGTACGGGAAGTTTTGTGAACGAACCGGCAATAAAATTGCAATATTCTTTCGAACTTATTAAGAAAGATTTACAATTAGTTTATAGTTAGCTTTTAAAAGAATGCAGATTTTTTAATAGAGCTGCAATATAAATATATTATATACATATTTTATATACATCTGTATTTTCAATTATCTGCAAATTTACCCAACAACCGCAATCGATTTTTTTATTCTGATAACAATATTATTTAATTTATTTACATTTAATTATAAATATAAAAACAATAATTAAATAACACATCAATTACAAAAGTATTGCACACACATACATACTAACCTATTGTTTATTCTAATATAGAAAAAATCGAACATTCAAGGTTATAGAAACTACAATTAGAAATCAACGAATATTTACAAAGAAAGAATTTGAAATATTTATGATTAGATTCTAACACACTATATACAATTGCACACAATTTACGCAATATCTGTGTGTATTTCTATGATAAGTTTAATGTGTAGGTATGTATATAATTCTGTGATGTTAATAAAGTTCATTTACACAATAAACATGACAATCTATTGCGTCACAAGATTAAAAACAAAATTAACATTGCATAAAAAATCATTAAATTTAATAAAAGAAAATGTGATGTGAACAGCACATAATCGACCACGATGTGTACTTTCTGAATAATATTAGGAAATTCCTCATCAATTTATTGTTATTACTTTACTGGAAGGGTTGCATAAGATTGTTACACTGTTCTTTAAATTTCAAATTCGAGGTCAAATACAAGGTCCGGGGTCGTGCAAAATTTTTAAAAATTTTTAATTTTTTGCCAAGGTCGGGGGTCGTGCAAAATTTTAAAAAATTTTTAATTTTTTGACAAGGTCCGGGGTCGTGCAAAATTTTTAAAAATTTTTAATTTTTGGCCAAGGTCGGGGGGTCGTGCGAAATTTTAAAAAATTTTAAATTTTTTGCCAAGGTCAAGGATCGTGCAAAATTTTTAAAAATTTTTAAATTTTTGCCAAGGTCGGGGGTCGTGCAAAGTTTTAAAAAATTTTTAATTTTTTGCCAAGGTCGGAAGTCGTGTAAAATTTTAAAAAATTTTTAATTTTTTGGCAAATTTTCTTAAACCTTGTAGTAACCCTTTAGATAATGTATACATTCAAAAAAATTAAATCTCGTTTTTAGAAGAAGCTCACTTTCTGTTCTCCATCTAATTTCCTTGATTTCTAGTTAAATTTTGAAGTTAGTTTCGTCGTCGGCAATCAGAAGATAATGAATGTAGATAGAAAGTAGCAACTCGACAGAAAGATTGATGGACAAACTGACGGGTATTTTTCTTATAAAACTATCTATTGACGCTTATTTATCATGTTCTGTTGAAAATTCGACAAGCGAAATTTGTTGCTATCACATATCCTCTCTTATTACATACAATACCGTCAAAAAAATAATTTCCAACAATAATACTATAGCTTTATATAATAGAAAGAAAAAGTTATGTGAACATTCTGGAAGCCCTTCTAGTACATTCTATCTTGCTATATTATATCACGTCTAATGGACAAATATGCGGCTCAGTAGAAAATTAAATCAATGCTAAATGTCTTATATGTGAAAATTAGATTACTTATACGTTACAAAGGTAACTGTTACAAAAAAAACTTCTAAGTGCTGTGAGCTTGACATTATTTTAAATGCCAAATCAATATTTTTCTTTGTATTATAAGCTTATTTTCTATTACGTCATGTTTTAATGTCCAATATTTTAGAAATTATTAAAAACCTTTGATTTTTTTTTTGGAATTTAATTTAAAAAATATTGTTTGATTAAATTTTGTTGTTTATGATCATTTGTATCAGAAAGTATGTACTCTTTTTGCTAAAATTTGCTTAAGCAAAATGAGTTGATGACTATCAAATATATATGCATACATATGTTCCAAGCTCTATTTATTTGCCTATAGAAAAGAAAACCTATTCAATATAATAAGACCTTGATTTTGAAATATTAAACGCCAAATCTCAATATTACAAGTAGTAATAAATTTTCAAATTATGCAATTTTCAATTGTTTCACTTATCTTTGTTGATTTTAAAACTGATATTTAATTTAAAATCATTAATTTCTACGAAAAAATTTTCAGAACATTCTGGAAAATTTTATATATATTTCATTATGTTTCTAGCATAACGAAAACTCTTAACTAATGTGTATATTGCTTATTAAGCTGTTAGTTAACTAACAATCATCGATAACGATCGAAGAAAGATCGAAGATCAAAGTGCAAAACGCTTAATTGAAGCATTTTAGATTTTATATTATTGAAGAAAGATATGGGCAAAGGAGCATTTCAAGTTTGTTTATCGCAACCAGGTATTGCTTATTGTAAACTATCTCGTTTGAGTTGGATGTGAGTTTCCCGATATTGCGAAATTCATCACTCCCCCGTACCCCTTCTTATAAAGATTCCAAATCATATATGCCATTCCAGAACAGTCATACAAAATATGTATGGCAGTCTCATTATCGTTCTGGCAGAATTTTTTAATAACTAATTGTTGATTTACTTAAAAAAAGTAAATTGAAAGCATAATTACTTATTTAATATCAAATATTAATTTATTTTATTTATGCAATAAAAGCCATGACTCATAACATGAATTCACTCAGTATTCATAAATTGAATATCATCTCATCAAAATAGTTTTTCCCTTTAAACGCACTACTTAGTTTACAATGCAATAAAAATGTTTTGTGTTCAAATACTTAAGTGTTTATTGCCCTCAAAATGCATGTATTATAATATTATCAAAATAAAAATAACAAGTTCTGCCTTACGCTATTGTGCTTTTTAGGAAATAATTTTTAAATAATTGCAATTTGCAATGATATTGCACATAGTTAAGTATGAAAAATATCGGATTATTATAGTAGTAGACGGTTAATCATAAATTTTCTTTATTACTTAAAAAGACGACAGTTTGTTATAAATAAGTAATATTTATGCATACTAGTGCTCATGTAACTTCATATATACATAAGTACTTAATATTTATTTAAAAATTTTTGCAAATAATAATACGCTATACTGCAAAGGGAAAATGCATATACAATATTAGCAAGAATCACTGAACTTTTTTTGAATATTTTTAGAATCCAATATAGGGTCACATGTAACTTTCATGAATTCTTACGAAGAATATTACAAAATATAGGAAACTTATTAATGAAAATTTTGATCTTTGCTCTTTTTCTTATCGCGTTATTTTCCAATTTAGAACATGATGAATTATATTTGAATTTAGATTCTATGAAATTTGTCTTAAAATTTCTTGAAAAAACTTTTTGATAGGAAACTTGCTACTCTTTTCCTTTCAAAGCAAAGCTCAATGCCCCGTGTTTTGTAATACAAGAGACATAATATATTTTTAATATAGTCACATATAATTTCGAATATAAATATATTTAAATAATAATTTGTTTTTCATATTATTCATATTAATTTTATTAATATTTTAAATTTTTTTTATTTTTGTATTTTCAGATTTATAACAAGCTAATCCAAATATACCCAGTTTAAAATTAAATAGTTTTATTCAAATAAATTTATCAAAATGACTGGAACAAGTAAGTCAAACAAAATTTATAACATAAAATTGGTTTAAAGTATAAATTTATAATTTTGTTAGCACTTTTCCAAAAAATTTTTGAAAAAAAGTGCTTATTAGTTTCACTCTGTCCGTCCGTTCGACCGTCTGTCCGTTCGTCTGTCAGTCCGTATGTCCGTGTGTCTGTTTACAAAACTTCTACACCCTTGAAGATAGAAACGTAAAATTTTTTACAAGAAACTAATTATTTTCGTAGGTCAAAATTTTTTACCTATCTCCTCCCCTCTAAAAGTTATTACCCTTCAAAACCCAAAAAAAGCCCTTTTTTAACTGTTTACTGTAGTTGAACCATATGCATTATTCAAAAATTATAGTATGCCGTGATATAAGAAGCATCCCACTGCAGAAAAGCAGTGGGATGCTTCTTATATCACTGCAGAAAAGCAGTGGGATGAAAATAATTTTATTAGTGTGGTAGGTATACATCGATTGTTTTGCAAAGCAGTATTTTCACTTGTTGAAGGGAAAAGTGCTACAATACAAACCATTAGTTTGACCCAACTTTATTAATATATAGCTCTTACTTTAGTCCCTATTAACTTTAAGAGAGTATTCATATTTGAGATATGTGTGAATTATATATAAAATTTTTAAAATAAATTGGTTAAGAACCACTGAATATTAAGAAATACTGAACAATTATTTTTGGAATCGAAACTTTAATTACTTCATTAATATTTGATTTAATAGTAGTATTGTCTTTACAATTGAATCTCTGTGATTGCAAAATGAAAACAATGCGTAAATCAAATTTGGCACTTACAATAGTACATGGGAATTATACATACATTCCACAGTTTTATCTATTTTTTATCAAGATTTTATTAATGCACTTTAATTATTTTCAATTATAGAATATTTTGTTCAAACTTGGATTCTATTTATCGGTTATTAATCGACTTAGCAAGGTTTTTCCAGATTTATAATTAAATAGATTAAATAAAAAAAGAGGTTTTCCTTTTCTTTTTGTAACCGAATCAATTAACCAACAAACTAAGCTCTTGCATAGATTTAAATAATGAACTTTAATATTATTTTAATACTGAACTTCAAATTAAACAATCTACGAGCTTCGATCATTGTTCGTTCAATTTTATGCTTCAATTTTAAATTTCATTCTCAACAAATCTAAATGTTTATGTACCTCATTATGCATGCATACAATTGCACAGTAATTTTATCTGATTGTAATTCTAATCATACTTAAAATTGAACTTTAACCACAAAATTATATTCTTGACTAATTATATTTTTAATATGTTTTATCCAGATATGTCCCCCTCCAGATATTATAGAATATAATTATAAATATAGTCAAGTGGATATAATGTTATAAAAGTTTTAAGTATGTTGTTATTGTTTTATATATTGAGTTTTAAACAACATCGATTAACTACAGAATATTAAAAAAATTATAATCGCTAATTATCGCAGTATCTACGAGTATATAAATTTTACATATAATATTTTGAAAGAATTTTTAAATTTTAGAATTTTATTGTATATTTAAGGTAATGTAGGTTGTGGTATAAATTTTTGTAGAAACAATTACTATTACTTACATATTTAATTAGAATATCATTTGTAGCTTCTTTTTCAAATTGTGTATTTACTATGTCTGTGCCCTGAGGCTTATTTTAATATGAAATGAAAACCGATTCATAATATTTATTTCTGATATTCAAAACTTAATGATACAGTGGCATTGCAGCATAAACATGATTTCAAAATGCAATATGAAAATTTTTAGGCAGAATTTAGTCGTCATATTATTAAAAAAATTATAATTCCGTCAAATAAAATCCTCAGATGTTCAGAGGTTGAACTTCCATTAAAAGTTTATATGAAACCAAATAAAATTTATGTAGACTCGCAATGAAGTTGATTTATTTTCTTTGTTTAGTTATTATTGAATAACCCTCAATTAAGATTTCGTGCTAAAGTTCGTGCAATTAAACTTCTCGAAAATTTCTAATTTACAATAAAATCAATGATTGCGTATTGCAAATCAACGTGACGCATGTGAACTCTCGTTAACGTTAATTATGTATTTTTAATCATACTTTTAACACTATAAAAGTTTTATCAATTTTTTAATAATTAACTGTTATAATATATTGTATATGGGTAGATTGGTAATCCATCTTAAATACTTATCTTAAATACTTAGTAGCAAAGTTTAGCAGTAATTTTTATGTTTTAATTTTTTTATTTTTAGTTTATCATGTACAAAGTCAAAAAGTATTTTAATATTATTGTCACATATCATCATTTAATAAGCTTTTCATTTTGGAATGGAAATAAATGATTGCAGTATAAGATTTGAATATTTTTTGCTTCCGTTTTATGATCTCTTTTTTTAATTTTCGTAAAATGATTGCGTTGCATTTAAAACAATTTGTAGATTAAATTCATGATAGTAAATTGATTGTTTTGAATTTTTCCTCCTGTTTCTTATTTGTTGCTATGCTAATCACAAATTATTCTGCAATTGAAAATTTGATAAATTTATTCCAAAAGGTCCGAAAAAAATTTTAAATAAAAAAAAAGTTCCTCAATTTTTAGCTTCATTTTTACGCACTGTACGGTTGAGATTGTTAAATATGGGGTTGTGTCTTAATTTTCACATTAAATTTTATATTCAATTTCAATGTGATCTGTTTAAGTATTAGGTACTAAAACAGAAGTACACCTGTGTCCACCCTTACCCATGTGTTGGTAAGTATTTATACAGGATTACTAATAGTTAAACAAGGGGATTATTATTTATTAGGGATATAAATTTTGGGCACTTTTATTTTTTCGGAACTAAAGCTATTTTGATTTAAATTGAATCCATTTTAAATGAAAGTCGTCGAAGCTTTCTTTTATTATTATTAGAGCTTTATTATTATAGTATAACACAACAGACGTGGGCGTTATAATGCTGTAAAATAAGGGTGAAAAAGTTGTCTTATACATACAGTTCACAATAGAATTATACACAAATTGCTACACACATTAATGGGTGAATATTTTATTAGCGCAAATTGTGAAATAATTTTTTTTCACCCTTTATTCCAGCTGCGTTCATAACTTTTTTTTAATTATCAATAATTAATCAATAAAAATCAATAACCAACTTGGTAACAATAAATTTAAATTATTTTGTTATCGTGAGTTTAATCTACAATTTTTAAGGTGCAAACCATTTTTTGCACTCATAAAAGGAGTGTTATTTTTTACTTTCTTAATCAAAAGTGCAAGGTTTGTAATTCATTCTTTTTCAGAGTTTAATGAAAATAAGATCGATACTCTATTAAAGTTCCGCCTCCTAACTATTTGTAATTTAGATTAAAACCTCAAAATATTGAAAAGTAACCCGTCCTTGAAAGCAATCAATAACCTTGGAACATTACCGCAGCTTATCATAGCAACCTTGAAACATTATCAGGTTATCAACTTGAAAAAAATTTAAATTATTAATCTGTTAGATCTGTGCGAGTATAAACAATTAAAATTTACATTAATTTAAAGAAATTAAAGGCCTTTGATTATCGTAAGCTAAATCTTTTATGATAAGCGATAGAAAGAAAATTTTTTAAAAGAAAGTTTAATTATTGATTAAAATAAGTATTTTTAATTTTTATATCACTTTTTCTTTTCTTTATTGATAATTTCTTGTACTAAAGTCCATTTTTTAACTCATATTTCATATTCAACTGTGCAGGTTATAAAATACGTCAAATCATTAATTATTTTTATATTTCTGTTTATATTTTTATAAATTTATTATTGTAAAATTATGATTAATTAATAGTCTTTGTTATCGTGCATATATTGAAGACTTAGTACTATATTATGAGTACTAATAAGCTACAGTATAGGCGGAGCACAATTATTATAAGTAAAATATTTCTTTTATTGGAATTATTATAGTGTTGTATTCGATTTCAGATTTTCAGAAAATCTGAGGGCTCTTTGGTACATTAATTATATTTCGAAATATTTGGCAATAAATAATGGTCTTATAATTGCATAATTACTAACTCCTTCTAAATATTATTAAAATTTTTCTATTTCATGTGTGAGTTTACAATGTTCTTTGACCCATGCACATTAATATTAAGAATGGGATAGCTACAAATGTTCCTTTTTGCAATTTTCACATTTGTATTTTTTGTTCAAGTGGAATTTTTGCTAATTTCATTTATTAAGATAAAAAGTTATAATTAAATTTTTTCTGTAATTTTTCCCTTTCAAAATAATTATGAATTAATTACTTCAAGTATAACAAAGCGGTTATCAGGGAATTGATTATCAAAACAAAAACAAAAAGTTTTTACAATCTAATAAAAATAATAATATTAAAAAGTGATTACAAATCTAAATCTAAAAAATAAAAAATATTTTATTTTTTCTTTTTTTTTTTGTTTTTATTCTTAATCTAAACATACTCTTTAATTTATATGTTAATATATTTTATTATTTTTGGAATAAGTTTTAGTTGATCGCAAGCTTTCTTAGTAATCGTTTCGTATTTTTCTTACAAATTGTATTTAAAAACATAAAATAAATAAAAGAAGAGAATGGGAGAATTAAATTGCATAAATTTTTATTATGTTGCTTTAGATAAATGTAGGTGGTAGTGTTATGCACTTAAAAATTTTACTTGTGAAGTTGCACAATGCACAATGCATTTTGCATTGTTATGTTTGATTACGAAGATTTTTCATCATTTTAAAATCATTTATTGAATTTCAATAATTATGAATAATTAAAATTTAATTTTACATTTGGCAAATAGTTTAATTTAGTGATCAATTTTTATATTTGTTTGTTTTCAATAGAAAAATTCGTCTATATCGTTAATATTTACTTGCACAAATTTAATTTGAAAGTTCAGTAATCATAAAGAATTATTATTTTAAAATTTGAAAGTTGTTTTGAAAAATTTGAATTCATAGTTGTTTTGATTTATGTCAATTAATTTATATAAACAATATATACATACATATCTATTTTTAGTAAATAATTCGGATCACGCAATGTTAATAATATTTACAAAAAAAAGTAATTTTTTTAACATCAGACAAACCTTATAATAATAGTGATTTAAATTTGCAAAAAGAAAACATAAACCAAACTAAACTATAAATTAATTATGGGTGTTTTTTCAAATATTTAATCAAAATAAAATAAAAATATTACTGCAAATAAAAATTTATAAACCTTATGAAATTTTCGATCATTTCCAATCGATGAATAATAACACAAAAATAAAATTACAGGAAAATTGAGTTACTTAGGCTTTCATAAGCTATTCATAATAAATTAGGAATTTGCACAATAACTAAGTAATAAGTGGAATTAATAGTAATTTAATATATCAAATATATTATGTAGGTTATTACTTTGTATTGGAAACTCTACATATTTTTGGAATTGAAAATTACAATTTTAGAAAAGCCTGCATAATTTTTTAAATACTTAAGTAGTAATAGTTTAATTAATAATAGTAATAAGCAATAAAAATGTTATTTTTTCCGGAAATATACATCAAACTACAGGTTGCTTACTATTCTTAAAAACTTTTTGTGGGAATTCTTTGTAGGAATTAAGCCTCATAAAGCAAATACTCGATGTCACTTTAATATCAAAGTAAAATAAAATTTTGAAAAATTCTATACATTTAATTCTATTCTATTCAAACATCATTAATTTCTATGAAATTAAATTTTGAAAAATGCTACCATAATTCATTTTGTTAAATTTTATTAAAATTATTATTTGCTTGTGATTTTGTTTCAACATTAAAAATTAGTCAGTTTCAATAATGACACTGAAATTTAGAATTTGATTCAAAGTCATAATGCTAAGACACCCTGAGTTGATCATTCCCAATGTTCTCGTTATAAATTTTGACACTTTTATCCAATTGTGACGCAGTTTAATATCACAGCAATTTAGAATTAATGCATATTTTTTAATGTTTTAAAATAGGATTGACAACTGCAGCTATTGTGGTAAAAGTGTATAAATCAGAAAATAAATCAAATTAAAATATAGTGGAATTGGAAACGGTTCATTGTAATTCTCAACAATACATATTTTTGTATTTTAATATTTTCAACAGAATATTCAGATATTCCACTGTTTTTCTTAACATTCCATTTTAATTAATTTACTACTTAAACATTTTTTCTTAGAAGTTAAGATTTTTTGTTTTCCCAAGTTATCCTTTTTTACTTGATTTCAAATAGTTCTAATATTTTAAAAAGAGTTACTTTACTGTATTTTGTTGCTTCTCTTAATTATAAAAAAAATTGTACTTCAATTTTAAAAACAGTCAAGGATTAATTAGGATTAATCAATAATCGAAAAATATAAAAGTTTTATGCAAAATTTAAAAATTAAATAATTAAAATTAGAATAAATATGTACTAAAAATGTAAACGTATATAAAGAAATTATTAATATTAAAACCACCTTCTTTCTTATCTTATTTTTTAGTACCTGAAGAACCAACATGGAGTTTAGAGAGGCGTGAATCATCCGGACAATTGGTATGGCGTAGAGAATCATCAAATTCAAAAGTTAGATTTCGTTTTGATGTTGAAGTTTTAGAATATGAAAAAAATCCTGAAGAACATAATATAACATATGATTATGTAGCACACCGTAGATCATTAGTTAGTAATATAAGAATATCAAATTCAATAATGGTATGTGCAACGTGTGTTGTTGCATTTGCAGTTACAATGTTCCTACCATGGTATTTAGTTACGGTGCCGAATTGAAATAAAATTTAAAATATAAATTATAAATATAATTTTATTTTTATTGATTACACAACATAGATATATATATATGTATATAAAATACTAATTACATGAATTTAATATTATAAATAAGTAAAAATTTTTACTTATATCGTCATAGCTCTTAATTAAATTATTATTTATTCAAAAACAAAAGAAAAAAAAAAACAAATCGTAAAAAATTACATTTTCATTTATTACAATGTAAAATTCCTATTTTAATTATAATTTAAATAATAGATTAATGTACTTTGTAAATTTTTAAAATTTCATTTTTATAAAAATGTTTTTAATTATTTTTAAAATGTTACTAAAGTGAGATTGAAATGTTACAGAGTGTGTGATAAACTGTGATTTTTGAAATTATAAAAATGATTTATGTATGTTTGTATTGCCAATATTTGTAAATATTATAAAATATTTGAATGAATAGTAAAAATGAATGTTGCATACTTATTGCATACCTATATAAATAATTAAATAAATTTTAGTAATTATTTTGAATGTACGCATTTTATGTATAAAACAATTATATTTTACTCATTCCATACCAAGAATAATTTCTAATTATTGATGTTATCTCAATTGATTTAATTTTTTTTTTTAATAATATGTAAATTAGAATTTAGGGTATAAATTGTAATTTTGCATTAGAAAAAAATTTATTAAATAAAACAGATTTTATTATTTTTTATATTATATAAAAAATAAAAAATAATTTGTGCTGAAAAAAAAATGTAATGAAATTTAATGACTATACAAGATTTGAAATTAAATGAAATACAAAATTGATTTTAAAAAATGTAAACGTTATAAGGAGAATAGAAAAATCTTTTATGAATTTTACATAATTTGCCAAAAAAATGTATAAATTGAAAGTTATACGATATATTTTGGTTTAGAATGAAAATTTAAAATTAAATATACGATAATATTAAAATTAATTATAAATAATTTCTTTCTCTGATCGAACTGAGTTGATTCTTTTTAGTTATGAAATTATTCTATTTTCAAAGAAGGGAGATTTTCGTTTATGCACGCTGCGCTGAAAGTTCTGCATTATAGAACTAAGTCTAAGTCACAGCGTTAAACAGTAAGCAAAAACTTTAGTTAAGTTATTTTTTTGACGCAGTCTACAAATTCTGAAACTTCTAAATAATCAGTCGTTCGAAAATAGCAGAAATGACATTGTTTATGAAATCGTATATTCCAATACTTTTCGCATTCCAATTCACTGCAAAATAGGAAAATTTTCAATATCTGAATCTGCTATTTTGAAATTTAAATTTTTTTTTGAATTTTAATTTAAAAAATTCATGAGGCAGCGACAAAATTTATGTTAGAGGTCTGCGCTTACATTTCTAACACTTCTTTATTGCAGATTGAATTTTCGAACGCACCTTATTGCAGCTAGTAATTTCCGAACGATCTATATTTTCAGTGTATGTACCGTCAATTTTCGAACGTACTACAAGCTAGAACTATTCTAGAACTGAATAAACGAAAATATCTAATATGTTCTCTATCTTAATCTGATAAGATACGAGTATAAGCTATCTTTCGGCTTTAAATTTTATTACTTCTTCTCTAACATTTTTGTTTTTGTTTCAAAAATTTTTTGTTGATAAAAATAAAAGGGAAATGGTCATTTGGAAGATCAATATGCACGTTTATTTTTACATTTGTGTTTAGAGTATAATAACAAAATTAATAAAATAATATAACTATGTTAGATTGGAACACAAATAAGTTGAGTATTCATTTACTTTAGAAAAATTTAAAAAATTCACGTGAAAATTTCAAACATCTGTCACCCGATGTCTTAGATTTATTTATGTGTTTATATATAAATGGTTTTAAAATGTTTCACAAAACAATTCAGCCACGTTGTTCACTATCAAGTCACATATCAATTCCAAAGAAAAATTTTCCAATAAATCACCTGCTTTCGAAATATCACTTAGAAATTATGTTGCTATTTCATCAATTTAAAAAGACGTACAATAAGGATCGTAAAACGTACATATTTACCTTTTAGCTAAAATCATATTACAGCTAATAACAAGAATTATGAAATCATACTTGGAGCGAAGGCATTACTGTAATTTAAATTAAGGTTTAAATAGTTTTTGGAAGCTTTTCTTAATATAGAGTAATCAAAAACTTTGAACAAAAAAAATTATGTGAAATTCTTTCTAAGATTATGAGGAACTGTTATATACAAGTAGGTGTTTGTGTGACACTATCACATTTTGATATTATTAAACCTATATAGAATTTAGCAATTCAAATTCCTACGTTGTAAGTATGTAATTCATTTATACAATTATTTGCGCACTGCAATAAAATATATTCTCCATATATACATACGTATGTACCAATATAATTAAGCTGTATATTTATTACTCGACAACAATAAAATTACCTAAAATACTCTCTTTCTACCTTCATCTTATACTTGATAAATATCTTTTACAATTTCATGTACATTGTCTTCACCATTTTTATTATGTTAAATATATTTTATAATATTTTGTAATAAATAACTGTTAATATGATTATGTATTATGAGGCATTTTAATGCTTTTAATGTTATCACCTGTGTAAAATTTATAAAATACAATTTTGTGTTTTACGTCCTATAATCTTTATGCATTTTATTACACCCCAGAGTGAATTTATTATTTATTTGCTAATATAATATTAAAATTTCAAGTATAAAATTATTTTTAAAGTATTGCTGAATTTTTTTGTTTAAATAAATGGTGTAACAGAAGCAATTTTAAATTATTGTGGATTACTCGGTTCAATTTACAGCTTCGGCTTAAAACAATTCTTTGGCTTATGTGGTATTTAATATGATTTTCATTGCACCAAGCTCTTACAATAAGTTATTGTACATTTTGTTAAAATTATTGACTCCACTAAATTTAATGACTCTTTATTAATAAGCTTTGCAATGCTAATTTTCTTGTTCCAAATGCTATTTTGTATTTATTTATTGTATTTTCAAAAATTTCAATTATTTTTCAAGATGTGAAGGTAAACAATTACGGTAAATCTTGTAATTTCCTCAAATTCTGCAAAAATTAATCCTTTTCTACTCGTAAATAAAATAAAATCAACACGGAAACACATGCACATTTTGGTGCTTAAATCAAAATTATTTTAATTTCATTTTTTAATAATTATAGAATTCATTATAGGATTAATTTAATCTCAGAATATATACAGGGTGATTCAGAAAGGTATACTACAACATGTATTATTGGTACGAGGGTCGAAAATGTGTGAAATCTCAATGGTTTCCGAGATACAAGGATTTTAACAAATTTTTACGAAGTTTGTACTTATCTCAGTTTTTTTGATTATAACTTCCGTTCCGAAGATAGGGGCTTCAAACAAACAGTTTCTAAAATACTTAGTAAAGGTGTTAAAATAAACATGTTATTTAATTCTGTATTTTATATACTTTCGGAATATTAAGCATTCAAACTTTAAGCATAATCAAATTTTTCCCTTGTTTTATTTTTTAGTTTTTTCAAACTACTCGTAGAATAATTTCGTAAGAAATTTATTAAATCCTGGAGATTTTTGTGCATAGAATTATTTCCAGCTGCTTAAATTTTAATTTAAGTCCTCAAACATTAAAAACTTTTTATTGTACAGATATAGCACAAAAGCCAAAAATATTGTGAATCAAAAATTCAATTAAAATTAAGATGTTGATAAAACTAAAATTAAATTCAATTTAATATTCCGTTATCAACAAATTTGGAAAAATACGAATTCCTTATCCAAAAATTTCTCAAACAAACTTCAAATTTTCTTATGAAATTCATCTAATTCGGCAAACATTTATGTTTTTCTTCTATCAAATTTATTTCTATTCAATCGCGTATATTAACTTAATTGCTTTACTGGAACACCTCTTTTTTTGCATCAACAGGACACCAATTTTAGTTTTTCTAGAAATTTGTTTAAAATTTATTAATCCCATTAAATTATTTATTAATTATTCATTATCTTCATAATATACCTACCATATAATTTACAAACTCCATTTTGTGTAAAAATTTAAATTTATTGAAAAAAATTTTTTTCTATTAAAAGAAATGTCAAAATTTATATGGCATGCCTTTAAAAATTCGCTCCAGCTGGATAATTTTAATAACTTCAGGTGCCAAATGATGTCTAGATTTCGAAAATATTTTTTTCAATTTTTTAAATCGCACCCAGTCTGAGCAAAATGCATTTAAAAATTTCAAACCATATAGGTACCATTTCTTATAAAAATTGGCGAAAATTAAAAACCTATAATTTTTTTTACCAAGAAAAGTTTCGAAAAAAAATTTTTTGATTACTAGATTTTTTTTTGTTTTTCCTAATACAAAATTCTAGTTTTTTTTTTCAAAAATTTCAAATTTTTTAAAATCAATTTTTGTTTTTCAAATTTTGTAAAAGTAGGTATTTTAGTAGGTAAAGAGTTTTCATATGAATGGAAAACTGACCACCCATGCTTCTTAATGTTTTGTAAAATTTGAAATTTTTATAAATTGCACATTTTGAAAATTAAAAGATTTAAAGTATATTGTATGCAAGAAGTTTACTAACCTTAACAATGATAACAATTTATATGTATGTACACATATACATATAGTTATAGGGATTTATCGAATTATTAAAATTAGAAAACTGTCAATACGTGTAATGTATGAATGTACATACATGTATATTTAAAAATTACTTAAAAGAATTCAATAAACTGAAAAATTTACAATGACATGCATTACATAATATGTAAGTAATTGGAAAATGGTGATTAATCGATCTTAAGAATGTTAATGACACTAAAATTGGATGTACGTATGTATGCATTTCTTACAAATTTTATTTAAACGTAAACAATGTAATTTTTTCAAATACATATGTGCTTTAAGAATTTTGTCAACAAAGCTATTTCAAATTTCCAAGTCGGAAGTGTTTCAAATAAACCAAATTGTGACTCATTTTTTTAAGAGTTTTTCATTATTTTATCTAAACTGCATTGTTTTGAGCAATATTAAACAAAAATGGTGTTTGAAATTTTTGAAATATTTGCTCTTAGGTAATGTATACATATTCATATTTCTCTACACACCCATTTTTAAGGATGATTTATGTTACTAAATAATTTATGCACACTTAATCTGAAAGTTCATTATAAACAAATATAATTTTTTGATAAAAATGGCCTTCCAAAGTTTAATGGGGGGTTTTATTTAAATAATCTAAATAGAATATATGAATTATTAATCTTAGATTAGATAAGAATTTAAAGGAGAATTAGAATATTGACACACTTCTTCAAAACAATATTTGCTTTGCGAATTGTTTTCAAAACAAAAGTACTTTCGTACTCAGCTATAGTTAAGCTATATTGCTTCCATTAAGTATACTTAATGAGAATGTTTATAGTTTTCAAATATTTTTTAAAAAACACTTTAGAATAGGTAATAAAACTAATTGTACATTGAACTTAAAAAAAAAAACAAATCTTATATTGATAAAAATTATTATTATAATTTTCAATATTGCAAAAATAGTTATTAGGTCAGTAGAACTAACAGCGTAGTTTCCTCTATTTTAATCTATAATAAACAACTACACAATTGATATATTGTTAAGATTCAATAAAAAATAGCTAGCAGATTGAGTAGCAAATTTAGACGTAAAAATTATAATAGTTGTGTTTTGCTACAACTGCAAATTGCGTTGTGTAGAAAAATCGCTAGAAGGCAGAATAGTTTTATAACTTATTTGAATTTTTATTGAATAGTATTAAAACTAAAAATTCTGAAATATATTTTATACAAAGAAGTTTCACTAAAACGTTATTAATTCGATTACTATTTTTTTTTATTCGAAAATATTTTATATGAATTTTCAAGTTTCAATTTTCAATAATAAAAATTTTGGATTAAGAACAAATTGATTGTGTATAACAAGAATGTTACACATAATTTATTGCATATGTTTAGGATGAAATTATTCTTCCTAAATTATTTGATGTGCATATTTACACTGTCTCATAAACGCATATATTGTACGTAAATGCCCAAATACTGTTCTGTTGCTAAAACTATACTATATACTAAATTTATCAGTATTGTAAATGAAACTCTGTTACTACTATTGGCATAGCTAGTTTTAACCCTTAAGATTTTAGTTTAACATTCTTTTATTTGAGGTAATAACTGATGTAACACAAATAATGGACGAAATTTCAATGTTGAACCTTCACTTATCTCACCAAATAACTTTTGAAGTTATGTGACAGCTGTCAAAAAAACTCTACTTCTTTCGTTTTTATACTTATATTTAATACGTACAAAATCTCAGTTTTTACGATGCTATAAAATTGTTTGTGAGATATAGAATTAAAAACTGCGAAGTTCTTTATTAACTAATCTTATTTAATCTATTCTTTTCAAGGCTCCAATCAGAATTCTAAATTATGATTCATCCGAAAATCCGGATAGTATTCTTTCGCTGCAAATAATTTATAGTACAATTATTGTTAAGTGACACAATTGCATACCTTGAATTACAAAATACAATAACACAGTGTTAATACACAATTTAGCTTTTAAATGTGAATTACATTTTGGAAGCCAAGGTAATATAGTTGTTTCTTCATAATACTGCAAATGTAAATTTCTTTTAATTTCAAAATGTGTAATTATGAAAATAATGTTGTGTGATATCAAAAATTTATTAATTTCGCTAAATTTAACAGGTAAAACGATTGACACAAACGTAATAATTTAAAATATAATTTTAATATTTTAAACCTAATAATTTTGACTATCAATATTTGGACCAAATTATAATTACATATACATATACTATGTGAATCTATATAAAACGGTATTTGGCTATTGACATAAGTACTATTTGCCCGAACTTTGTGAAGATATTTCTAGACATCTTTGTGTAGCAGCTTCAACAGCACCAGCAACTGATGCTCGAAATACTGAAAATTTATAAGATTTTATTAATTTTTGAAAATTTATTCTCATGTAATATTAGCTTACGTGTTAGTTCCAAGCGACTTAGACCAGCTGCAGTTGAACCGCCAGGACTAGTGACATCATCTTTTAACTCAGCGGGATGTCTTCCACTATTTTTAACTAAATGCCCAGCACCCAAAACAGTTTGAGATGCTAATCTGTATGCTAAATCACGAGGTAGACCCATTTTAACAGCACCATCAGCCATAGCTTCAATCATCACAAAAACATAAGCTGGACCACTTCCACTTAAAGCAGTAATTGGATCTAACTGTTTTTCTTCAACTTCTTCAGATGTCCCAAGAGACTCAAACAAAGTTTGAGTTACCTTAAAATGTAAAACAGGGAAATTTTATAAGTTAAAACAAAAATGTATTTCAATGATTAGGTTAATAAAATATTGTCTAGTTAACATACTTTTGCATCATCATCATCCGCTTTGGAACCACGTACAAATACAGAACAACTTTTTTGTATCATAGCAGCTATATTAGGCATCGCTAAGCAAAATTAGAAACCAATAATATTTAGAGATTTCGTGATTTCATATAAATTATCTCTTACCTCGTATCACTCGTGAAGTTGATGACAAACTCTATATTATGAAAATGAAAAAAATATTTATATATTCTTTTAATATGACCACACAAACATACATATATGAAGGGAAATTTTCAAAAATTATTTAAGTTTAGAAAAGTACTGTATATATGTAGGTGAAATCAATATTTGCTTTTAATTTTGATGCAATTAATTTGAAGCTCAGGTGTCCCAAATTTCATTCTTTCTATTGATTGTTCTTAAATTTCAAATAGTACATTAGACTTCCTTCAATTGAGAAAGCTACAATACAAAGGATTATAAATGCATTCGGGAAATGGAGAAAAATCAGCAATCCTTACTTCTTCTACCATTAAAAACTATGAACAAATGTCAGACTATTGAACTAATCCTTCAAATTAATCGCAATGTTTTTTTTCTGCACGGCAACTTCGATTTATCTCAAATAGCTATAAATATCGATAAATATTTAATTTTCTTTAAACTTAGTTTCATTAAAACTATCCCTCTTCTGATATTTATCATCAAAATTTGCAAATTTCAGTCCCTATAGTTACTCTACTAGTTTTGTCGTACTTTTTAAAAAGGAAAAATTTAATAGGAATCATCCTCTTACCTATAAGTATACTTTTGACCTTATATAAACTAATTAACAATAAAATTCTAATTTTATATTTACACGAATTGTTCGAAATTATGGCTCAAGATCGCGTTAAGCATTTCATAATTATATTAATAACTAAATGAAGTTCTCCTAAATTTATGCAATATTTTATGGTAATAGAATAACTGTAAGGAAATTATTTCAAAAGGAAGATATTTTTTATACTCTGCACTTCGTGAAGGCCATAACTTTGGTATGGAGTTTGTAACTACTTGAAGGAGTCATCTGCGGCACGGACATATATATATATTCTTGCTCAGCGTAATATTCTGTATCGATTTAGAGATGTCCGTCCGTTCGTCCGATCGCACGATAACTCAAAAACGAATAATGCAATCGGCACCAAACTTTCACAAGTTCTTTCTTTTGTGCCAAGGACGAACCCTATTGTAATTGGACTAATTTGGACAACGGATTTGGGTAGCTGCCATACAACTAAAAGAGTTTGTTTGATTTAATTGCTTGACAGGTTCAGGTACTTGCCATACAACTCCAAAAGCTAACTTTAAATATTTGGAAAAATTGTCAGATTCATGAAACTTGGCAGTCGGGTGTCCAATTATAGGTCAGACATATCCGTGAAGTTTCTATAGAATGGTTTTAGAGGTTCGAGTAATTGCTATACAATAACTAAAGGTGCAGGGTATAATTCAATCGGTTTATACCGACTGAAACGTTTTTATTTGTTATTACTTAATGTAGATAAAAAGTTAAATTGTAACAAGCCCTAATAATTTTAAGATTGGGAAGGTATTTGATATTTAACTTTGTTTGATGCCTGCTTTTTATGAATTTCAACTTCGCACTTTTTGTATGTGCGAAGTGAGAAATAAGGAGGAGGTTATTAGAAATTTAAATTATATTTCAAAATCGCTCTACCCAGCTCTATTGTCATATTGTCATTTGTTATTACAAAATTTTTAATCGAAATATCAGAGAACAAATTTTAAATTTTCTATTTTAAACAAAAATCAAAATTTAGATTTAATAAGGTGATTAAGAATAATAACGCTTAAGAACGCTTAAAAAATTATTAACGCTTTACATTTCATCTAAAAATAAAGACAAAATTAGATTTATTATTTTTAATCATTTGCGTCTTCAAAATTATTTTAAAAGCTAAAGAGCTTTGTTAATATTATTTATTTTTAAATATTGTTGAACCATCAGAAAAGTGATAATGTTAAACAAATATTTTTAATTGGATTTAGTGACTGTTTACATATTCGACAAAAGCTAATATTTAATCTAAATCTGAGGATAGTCGTAAAACTTCTTGGCATCAGAAAAATAATAAAAATTAAATTTCTTTTGGAAATAAATAACGAAAATTTCTTCATAGGATTGCAGAACAGATGTTAGCCAAAGGAACGGGTCAAGACAGAAAAATTAAAAAATTTTTTCTCCTCAAGCTGAACTCGAACCAGTGAAGTGACCTACAAATGTCGTCTGTGCTAATTGAGTTACACAGGCATATTATTGGTAAATTGATCTCTACATTGCTTTGTACAGTAATTGGCAATTGGCCAAGAAATTTATAAAAAACAAATATAAACACCTACACAATGTCATTCTTTATTTGTATTTAGGTACAATAGTAACATTAGCGTAATAGGTAAAGTCCTGTAAATATAGTGTTCTTACGATTTAGTGTTTTAGAGACGATTGAATCGATCACATGTAAACAATACATTGTAAACAGAATTAGACCGTAAGTAGTTTTCGTTTTTATTTTACTTTCATTATTGTCACATCGAGCCTTACGTAAGAGAGCCTCTACAATTTTGTTGCTCTTAACTACATGTTTTTCTTAAACCAATCAAACTTTAATTTTTTGGTAATCGCTCTAAAGTACCTATATATTTTGATTATGAAATAAAAGTAAAAAAAAATAAATTAACGTATATGAAAGTCTATTTTCATAGTAAAAATTCAACTAAATACAAAGTAAATTTTAAAGATTTAATTATGTAATGTAAATTCCCGGGAGAAGTGTAGCATGCGCAGAAAAATGCACTTTGACTAATGATAATTATTTAAAAGCAACCTTAAAAATATTAAAATTGTAATATTATAATGAGGAAACCTATATAATAAATTACAATGATTTACTTCCTTCTAATTTACAAAAATAATTTTCCAAACTCCTTACTTTCTCATTATTATAAATAATCTGAAATTTCTAAAATTTCAATAATAAAGTTTTTTTCTTTAATATGAGAATAAGTAATGGAAATTTCTTCATAGAGTCACAGAACTGATGGATGACGTAATCAAGGGACCGAGTCAAAACAGAAAAAAATTGTCTCCTCAAACTGGACACGAAACAGTGATTTACCGCTTTCTAGGCAGACGGTCTATCAATTAAGCTACAGAGGTATGAAAACATTACCGACCTTTTTTAAATTTTAATTACCGACTTAATATCATTTTCAAATCTCTCAGTGTTTCCGAAAATTTTATAATTATTATGAAATTTTTCATGAAAATAGGAATGAAATTTTTTTTTTCATACACACCTGTTCCAATTCTTTTAGTGTTATTCCCATAGCTATTGATATAAAAAGTTTATTATCACTAATTGGCTTAATTTCTTCTAAAACTTTTGTTACAACATTTGGCTTTACTGACACAAAAATTACATTTGACTTTTGAACGACTGGATCATTTTCAATAGTCACATTTGCTCCTAAACGCTAAAAAATAAAATACATAGTTTAAATTTGTATATGAACATTCATTTATATTTTTATATAAAAATGTAGATTAATAGAAAGGATACCATACAACAACATAGACTAACATTAAAATAACAAAAAAAATCATAATGAAATGCATAAAATAAAAAAAAGAGTAATTGCAGATTCATTTTATTGTAACTTACCTTAAATGCTTCAAAACTCATTATATCATTTGGATGGACACTTGCAAATATTTGTTCTGCTTTTGAAAGACCTATACAATTAAAATATGTGTAAAATGTCTAATTAAAAAAGGATAATTTAAAATTATATAGAAAAGTTTTTTGTTGATTTAAATTAGAAGAAGGGTGCGTTCACCTTAGATATGTTTTTTTTGTAGCTATATGTAGGTGATAATTATGTTCCTATTATTATATTCATAAATGTGTTGTTATAATAGAATACGAGTACATGTTTTATATGCAAATACAATGTATAGCGTTAAAATTTCTAGAAAATTTTTTGAAATAAATATTATTCAGAAATATGGTGCTAAAAATTTTTTCGCGAGAGGGGCATATTTGAAATAGTTCGTTGATTACAATGAAACAAGCCTTATTTATAAGAGTCTATTTTATGTTTAAATATAAATCTAACCTCCTCTGGACAATTACAATTTTACTACGGAATTCACAGAATAGACCAAGTCCTTCAAAAATTATTAGGTTGGGGTATAAAAAAAGTGATTATATGTGCATACATATATACGCATATAATGTAATAAAAGGGCAACTTCCCAATATTAATTATTCAAATTCAACTCTAAACTTTTAATGTTTTAAGTTAATTATTTTTTTTACCGATAACCTTGCATATAAGAAGAGGGTGGTCAGTCTACCTGTCTGTATCTTAAGTTCTGTTATAAAATTTTTATCTGAATTTTCTCAAAGGGTGAAGCGGTTTGGTCAGCTTTTGGGATATATTAATTTTCTGCATTTTAATTGCGGGGCGATTTTACGTTTTTAACTATTTTTAAAAAAATAATCAGTGGACTTTTCTGAAAATTTATATATAAACTCCGTCAATACAACAAGTCGACAATTTTTTTGGAAATTAAAGTGTTATCGAGAGAACTTTAACTACGGACCAAATTTGTTTTTCTTCTCATACTCTTCTCATATAAAAGTAATCAATCAATTTGCTTGAAATTTATTATTTAAATTCGGGTTAATAAAACAATGAATTTTTCATAAAGATCAGTTTTTAAGAAAAGGTCGGAAACCGAACTATGGGCCAATTTTATATTTTTGACTATATAGCTACGGAATGTCTTGAACTTTAGTATTTGAATTCTGTTTTTTACCGAAACTAACTGACACATTTTTCAGGGAATTTGTAAACGAAATTCAACTATGAACCAAATTTTTATTTTACTAGATAAGTCAAAGCTTGTTAACTTGTTTAAAATTAGCAGAAGTATTTAAATAGCATTTCAATAATCTTCTTCTCTGAATCTTTCATTAAACTACGCAATACGCATTGTGGTCGGGTATGTGCTGAGAACATCAGATTTTTTTTTTATTTCGTTGTATTACAAAATTTATTACAAAATTAAATTTAGAGGTATCTGAAGCTCAGAGAACAGATAATATCATAGAGAATATTTCACTGTACTTAACCGTACTATCTAATCTAAAGAATATTAATTATTATTGACGTAACAACGGTGACAATTAATTTAAATATTCTTTTTTAACACTGAAGTTTTAAGCTTATATATTTCAGCACCTTATTGAGATAATTATGAATTGAATAGACATAATATTTATACCCGTACGAACGTATGTGCGTAGGGTATACTAAATTTGCCTTACCGTTTGTAATGCTAAGAAATAATGGTCTGAGATATAGACTCAAGTATATGCATTTGATCAGCGTCCAATTCTGAGTCGGTTTAGCTTTGTCTGTCCGTCTGTTCTTCTCAACGATAACTTAAAAACTAATTGATCTAAGTCGATGATCCAGGCACTGGTTCGGATACCTGTCAATACAACTTCAAAATTAATTTGGCTATATCTGAGAAATTATAGAAGCTATAGTATTGAAATTTGGCACAAGCGAATATATTATTAGGCCCACTGGGTTATTGGAATTGCTTGGTTGCTTCTGGTACTTGCCATACTATTTGGATAGTTATTTGGCTATATCTTAAAAATTTTGCAAAATAAAATATGATAAAATGACAGTTATATTAAATGAAGTTGGTTGGATCTCATACAACTCCAAATAGATAGTTGCCATACAACTTCAAAAGTTATTTGGCATTATCTCAGAAATTATTGGAATTACAATATGGAAATTACGTGAAAACAAGTGTATATTATTAGGGCTGTTATGTGTGATAAAAATCGTTGACATTTCTTGACTCCTGGTAGTAGCTGCCATACAACTTCAATAGTAGTTTGGCACACACAGTATTTTGAAAAACACAGTACTGAAATTTTGCATTAATTATATGGTAATACGGCAACTGAAAGTCATAGTCTGTCCCATAGTCAGCTATAGCATATTTACTTGCACATACAACAATAAATTCGTACGGGTATCACATAGTTGACATGATCAACTCTATTTTTTCTCGTTTTTCTTGGTTTTTACTATGCTTTTTTAAGTATTATTAAAACAAAACGCAAAATTAAAATAAGAAAGTTAAACAATACACACACATATATTTTTACATAATAATTTTAATTAGCATAGTAAAAAAATCCGTATTTATTTTATTCCCAGATTAAATCATATTAGTTTGTAATTAAGTTTAGTTTGATCGATTTATTCAATAAAATTTGTATTCTATTCATAAACATTTTATTACTTATTATTATTTGCACGCCTATTTAGCTAAATCCAAAAGTTCAATTTAAATTAATTATAATTTATGATTAAAAATTACTAGAAGCATGTATTAAAGATCTGTTTAGAATACAATAATTGAATTATTTCATAAAGAAATGTAGAAATATTAAAAAAAATTTTGAAAAAATTATTTTTTTTAATGATCTTTAATTTAAAAGCGCATCAAATGTTATATAAACATATAGAAAATGTTATATGATTAAAAATGTGATTTAATTAGATTTCTTAATTGCAGAATGCGATATTTAATAGGATTAAAACCAAATAACAAAAGTACATTTTTGTCAATGTCAGATTTTAATTTTAATTCAAATTTTTTTCATAAAAATTTATTATGAAATTTCGCAGATACTAGTAGTATATGCACCTATTAAAGAAATTTAAAATTAGATTTAGGTTTTTTTGTTGTTGATAAATCAAGCAAAAGCAGCGGACACAGTTATGAAGACAACTTTAATATACTCGTAATAAGCAATTATGTTACAAAGGTTACTGTTACGTATTCGTGTTTTTATTATTGTATTAGTTATCCTCCTTTTGAAGGTGATAGTGATAACACACTGAACATGTAACAGTTTACACTTGTTTTATATATGCATCTAAAGTCGGAACGAACAATTACACAATATATGTATATACACAAAATTTTTTCTCGGCAGATCCCTTTGTATTTTTATATCGCAAATAATAACGTAAGCTTCTTGATTTTTTTGAATTTGTAGGTTAGTTTTAACAACTCATAACAGAAATTTCATACAAAATTGAAAATTATTTTCATTTACTCAGAGAGGACTTTGCAATGTTATATCGTCGAAAAAACTGAGTTTCCATGAACTATTACAGTTTAGCCAATAATGTACTCTAAAAAGGAGCAAATTTGTTGCATTAATTCTATTTTAAATTTGCGAAACACTAAGCGTTTACATGTATCTGTGCGTCGAACTTGAAATTCCAAAAAGTGCTTTCGTGTAAGTATTGTTGTTTATTCATATTTTAGTTTTAATTTAAAATTCGAAAAACTCTATATAATTAATATAAAATTAATTATATAGAGTTTTTTGAATTAATATAAGAAAAATTCATTATGGTATTGATTAATAAATTGAACATTTTAGTATAATCACCTGCACTAATAAAACCTTTGGCCATGGACTGGGCCATTTTTCCGCCTCCTAAAAATCCAATACTTGATATTTTATTCATATTTTTTTAAATTTATTTTACACAATTTTCTTTCTCTTATCAATTGATCACGAGTATAAAAATGTAACACGATTTAAATATGTATTGTCAAAATATAAGAAACCACAGAAAAAAATAATACTTTGCTTCCTCAATTATACGCTATTTTCACTCCAATTAATCGATAGGGACTGATTATTTATGTATAATAAAAAAATATAATAAAATTTATTTTTGAAATATTATTTTTATTTACGTTCCCTAATAATATACCGCAATTTTCTTATCTTAACTCTCAAGTCCTTGAATTCATGTATAAAAATATTATAAATAAAAAATATTGATAAGATGGTATATGCATTTGCTGGTCAAATCAAATTGGTAAGTATATATTTTTATTATAGAGCACAAAAATAAGTTTTGATGTGAATTAAAGCTGATAAGAAAAAAATGTAGTTGATTAAATGAGTGGCTTATGAAGCAGCATATTTCCTTTTTTCAATCTAATTTTAGAGCTTGTTTTAGATAGCTTAAAAATGCAAATGATCTAAGTACCAATCTTGCGAATTAACTTTGTATAAATTTAGGAAAAGTTTAAGGATAATATAAGTTACTTATGAATATGACAGTGTTAATATTGAGATTAATTTGTAATTGATTTATTTACAAATACATTTCGACCAGAATCGAGAAATAGCATTTTGCGAAATATTGTGGATCAGAACTTTGACGAGACAAAAGGTAGAATGAAATTTCGTCAGATTTAAGTGTGTGTTTTAGCAGTGCAACACTAATTTATAAGCGTATTATGAAAGAAGAAATATTTCCTTAAGACATTTACAGAATTCGTAAATTGGACATTAATGTTTAAAAGTACTGGGTTTCCATAATAATTTTGAAGAGCTATAACTTGTTGAGGACGGGGATGTATAAAAAGTAAGGTCAAGAAAAATAAAGTCTAATATCTATATTTTAATTTTTGTATTTTGAATGGTTTAGAAATTTTGTAAATAGACGAACAGCCAGAGTGAAACTATTAGGCATATTTTCTCCAAAATTATTGAAAATATGCCAAGAATGATTATGATTTGGTTTTTAAGTCTTATAAGTAATTGTTACAAATAATGAGGGTATTTGCATGTATTCAAAAACATAATTGTAATTTTATAATGGATTTTTTTTTTTTAAATGGTTTCTATAACATTTGCCTAATGTACGGGATGAGAAATGCACAATAAACGCAAATATGACGTATAAAATGAGGTTATGTTGGATTTTATTATCAGTAAAATGATTGAAATTTTTATTCAATTTTTTATAGAATTTGTATTTTGTTAATGAATGTTTTATTTTCGCAACGAATTTATTCTAATAATGTACAATTATCATTAAGTAAATTTCTTCTGTTTTACTAAAATAGGCTGAAAAATAAAAAACTAAGACTAATGTCCGCAATTACATTTATTTAAATCGTTTGTAATATGAAGATTTTCGTAATTTTTCAGCAAAACTTCTATTGCGGTTCTTTGTTGAGATATCAATGTATTAAAGAGATTTTTGAGAAACAAGAGCAATATATATATTAGTATGGTATTTGTATTTTGTACAAATATAGTTAGCAATAAATAAATATTTTTTTTTTGATATTAATAAGTTTTTAATAAATATTATAAATGGATCTAGATAATTCGAGAAATACGGAGGTTTATTAATTATTGTACAGTTTGTATTATTTACAAAATAAATCCAATATCTTTGGAAAATGTAGTGTTAAAATAAATTGTTATGGAGGAATCACAACAGTTTTAAGAAGAAAATGTTCTGGAAATGAATTAGAACAACTTCTCTTTCACAAGGGCCGCTTAATTACAAAATCCTTTCCCAAGATTCTTTGATAATAAAAATTTTTAGTGAATATTTTCTGTCGCAAAACACATGTGAGATTTGTAGCACAGACATGGTTAAGAAAAAACTTTTCCTCCATTTTAGGTCTGATCTGTTCCATTTGGAGTTCTGAAATAACGAAATCAAAAAACGCTAAAAAGGAGACCTATATTTAAATGCTCTAATTTTTCTGAAATTGTCATTAAATTAAAAGTTATAGTCGAATTTAGAAATGTTGTTCAAGAAATTTAAAATTGAATTTTACATTGATTTTGCATAGTACGAAAGATAATGAAACTACTCAAAAAACAAGACTAAAAATTTCCAAGTGAAAAAAAAATTGAAAAGCCATAAACTTAAAATCAATATTGCAGAATTCTTAATCAACAGTTGCAAGTTAAGTTTTTAAAAAAAAGAATTAAGTAAGAAAGTTTAAAAAATGTGCAATAATTTATTCACATACTGTATTACCTCGCTAAGGGTGTTGCCAACTTTAATGAACTAAAGTTAATTAGGAACGTTAAAAGCAATACACGTGTACTTAATTCTATAATCTCATACCATGTATTATTGTATTTTTATTTGTTTTTTTAATATAAATTACTAAGTTAGCTTTAACGAAAAGCTATCTTGTTACGATATTATAAAATCTCTTTATTATTATTTTTATTATTAAATCTTCTTGTTTTATTTAAATATAATAATGATATCGTATAAATATTGGTAATCGTATGAAATATCATTTAGTAATGAACTTGATCTTGTAAATGATAAAGGTTCTTCTCTTTATATTATATTTCGTTTAATAAGTATTTAAGTATGGAATTTTTATTTAGAAAAAATATTAATACTATAAGTGTTCTAACTGTTATATGGATAATACCTTTTATTTATTCTGTGAATGGAAAACGATTAAAGAAAGAAAGTGAAAGTATATTAACATATGATTTTAATAATATTCATGAATCAGATGTTTTTGAAGACTTGATGTTAAGAACAGTAAGCTTATAAATAATTCAATATTTATTATTACTTATATAGTGAAATATTTGTGTTATATTTAAAAGTAATTAATTTTGAGTTGAGAAATTGTATTTAAAAAGTAATTAATTAAATTTTAGTTAATGAAGTATGGAAGCAAATAAATAGACACTCAATTTTTTTTAAATGTTATGTTAAATATTATTTTAATTCAATTAATGATATTGAAGGTTTTCTTAAGAAGTACTTTATGTATATTATCTGGAAGATGAAGATACTTGTATCCAAGCATATTGAATTTTTGAAATATACACAATATACCATTTAAATATGAAAATTGTATTAATAAATATTTTAAAGGCAATTTAAAATAGAATTTGATTATATACTTGAATGAAATAATAAATTTATTTTATTTTATTTTACACATACGCATAAGTATAAGTTTACATTAATTATTAATATTAATAGGGTAGAATTAAAAAAAAATTAATGTAGATAATTAATGTATTATATATATTAATGAATTAATAACAATTATTAATGAATAACTAATTAATAATAATATTTTTGTACTAATTGTAGAAAGAAAGAAGCGGTAGAAGAGGACGAGGCGGTATTTTGTAAGGGGTACTTTCTTTGAAAAAAAATAATTGAATTGTTAAAAAATTTGTTTTCATTCTCATTTGTTTAATTTGCCGTTTTCTTTACATTTTTATTAGAGAAATTTGTTCATCGAAATAGAGTGCTGATTAGCCATTTTTAAATTAAAAATCTTTCGAAATAGATTTCAAGTATCTCTACAGAGTTTTTTAGACCATTGCTATTACACTTATGCGAAAATTTTTTAAAATTTCGTTTACAGCCATTTTAATCTTTTAAACATTAAATTTTTATTTTCATAATGATAAATTCAAATCACGAAAATTATAAAAACGTAAGTTTAATATACTATTTTTTTTAATTAAAAAATTATTATTGCGTCTTCAAGTAATTAATTGTTTTAAATTCCAAGAATGCTCCTATAATTTCCGTAAAAAGTTTTACAATTAAGATTATGTAAAAATAAATGTATTAAGTAGTGAACTAATCTATTTTTGCCTTTCTTACTCGTAATGTATTTTTAATGTATTGATTACGAAATAGTTTTAAAATAAGAGATTGCGCGGGAAGCGTGAAACGCTTATTTCAAAGGTCTTCTTACTATGATTTTTAAACGGCAGATTTTTACAAGTTATGCTATGGCTGCAACAATTTAATTTATTCAAAATTATATTTGCAATCCACATAAAAACTAAATGCGCCTTGTTCCTTACCATAATCGAATCCATAAAAATTTCTTGAAAAAAAAAAACAATAACTTACATCAACTTCTTTATATAAGTAAGATTTGCTTCGAAAGCATGTGTAATTAAACAAGAAATTTTTAGAATCTGTTAAAAAGTAGTTCTTGAAGGTATGTTAATAAACACATATATAAATTATTATTTTTCAAAGTTCGAAGTCGTTTCATGTAATTTTATCCTAATGGCTTGATTGTGCTTAAACTTAATAAGGCATATAGAAAGACTGAATATTTGTGCATTTTTAATGACTTTTAATTAGTTAGTTAAACTTTTATAAAAAGTTCGCAGTGTGTATATCTAATTAATTTAATCATCATATATTTATATTTTAATACATAATTTATATTTTAATTTGAGTAAAGTTGATAAATTAGAACAGTTAAACTTAAATATATAGAACTTAAATAATTAAATAGATTGGATAACAGATACTTACACTGTAATCATTGCCTGATTTAATATTTACGTTTAAAAGTGAAATGAAACATGGTGACAATATGCTTTTATAATTGAAAGAACTAAGTTCATGTGCAACAAAGAACTAATTAGGTATATAATTATAATTAATTTAAGTATGTACATTTTTCTGTACGAAATAAATAAATAATTTAATGAGCGAGAACTGCATTTAAAAAGACTTTTAAATAATAATATGTCAAAGAACTTGAATTTGTGCAATATTAAGATGTTCTAGAAAACAATTTACAAGCAAGTATTGTAATCATTGATTTATTAAGCATTCCGTTTATTAATTGGAGTTAGTAATCGTTGCCATTCATTTGATAACTACAACAAGACACACATAAATTAGTTACAAAATTAATAAATTATCTCAACAAAATACAAGAATAAATGACAAAATTCCTTGAATAAATTGAGGATTTCGCAAAAATTGCATTATGCTTTAGAATTTTAAATATTAATGATATTTTCATTAATTTACAGAATTTCAAACTTGAAATATTAAAAAAAGCAGTAATTTCAAACTCCTCGTCCTTATTTCTGTCCCTTATGTTGTTTACCAATAATTTGTTTTTAATTAAGTTTCATTTTATACCGATTGCAAATAATAACAAAGAAAAAAATAAATTCCGAAAAGCAAGTTTTGTATATCCAGTTTTGACTGTACCATATTCTTCTTTAATAGGGTAATAATGTAAATCAATCTAATTTAATAATGTTAAATTAGATATTATAGAAATATGTTTTATTTTGTAACTTTAAATGTTAATTTTCTCATTTTAAAATTAGTAATGAGGCAGTTGAGATGCAATTATAAATCAAATTGTAATTAAATTGTTATGTGTATAATTATACTAAGTTGTCATACTTGTTCTTACTTAAGAACAAAAAGTCTTTTAAATTCAATAATTTTTTATTTATTAATAAGATTAATGTTCAAATAACTCGTGTTAGCAGTTATTGTATTAATTTGACTTGTATATAGAAATAATAATGAAATGTGCCAAGAAATAAACTTTTGGTGGCATTGTTTTAAAAAAGGCCATATTGTAGTTTTTGAATACATGAACAAAAAAAAATAAAATGATCTTTATAATTTTTTTCATGGTATTTAACTATACTAATGGCCAAGTTATTTATTATCTTTCACTTATGCTGATAATTGAATATTGTCACAGATTTTGATAGATTACACATAAGCTTAATGATTTTTAAATTTTACTTAAGTATAAACTTTGAATATTTTATTATATTTGAATTTCTAACTTTTTTCAGTTTTAGTTAAATTTTTTTTTTTTATGAAATACTAGGCAAAAATGTGATATATGCATCAATTTCACAAATCGAGTTTTCTGTATCAGAAAAGCCTATATACGTATAATAGAACCAATTTTCAGCCAGAAGTCTTTTGTTTGTGTCTGCTTTCGTAAAGATAAAGACTATATTTTAATAAGTTACCTTATATTTTATTGTTACTCCATTGTTTCAAGTCTGCTAATTTCACCAGTACAAAAAAAATGCAAAGGTTCGTAAGTGCAATTTCTATAAATACTAAATTAACGCAGAAAAAAAATGTTATTTTTTATTCTTCTTAAGAATCCACCTTTAATCAATGGGTACATTAAATAGTAGTCTTATAAATATGCAATAATGTGATTATTTTTAGTTTGCATGAGAATCTATTGATAACTGCATATATTAATGCAAAATTTGCAATTATATTTACAAAGTAATAGTCCCAACATATACGTAATTGGTATATTTTAATTACAGGAACATTTTAAAAACAATTTGTGGGCTAATTTTTTCAGGTTAATTCAATTACTTTAATAGTTTATTTGTTATACATATGTATATTATAAATGTAATATTTATAATATATGTAAGTGCAAGTTTAATAATCTTTAATATAATTAATTTTTTTTTGATTTTTTCGAACTGTTAATTCAATATCTATTACAGTTTAGTAATAATTCTGTGGCGAAAAGGCAAAACTATATAACTCATAGAATTAGTATTCAATTTCTTTATCATTTTACGCCCGCATATAGTGAAAAATGAAATATATCTAAAATCATTGTGGATAATTGCATAAAATGCTCGACTTACAACTTAGCACAAGATATCTGAACAAGAGAAATTTTCTGAAGTTTTCATAGCTTGGCTTCCGTTTTGGATGCCAATCAAAATTAAAATTAATTCACCTACTTGCGAAATATATTGCCGTAATATGTGATATACCTGCATAAGTAATTCAAAAAGGAATAATGTGTACTTACCAACAGATTAATGTGTAACAGATAACGATATTTTTCTATATTCTTTTTTCGACGGCCGACGGACGGTACTTATGGATACGATCTTAAATTATAGTCATTTTCGGCCCACTTAAAAACTGGTTTTTATTTTTAGACAAACGAGACTAACAAGTACCATATATTTCTCCTTCTGATAGGTTGTTTAATTGAAAAAATAAGATACAAAATTTAAAATATTGATAGCTTTTCAATAGGTTCTATTGTAAAAACTTTTCTTCTAATTTGGAGTTTTCAATGTTATAAGAAACTGAATTTGTTTTTGTTGAAACCGGATAAAAACAAACTCTTAATTTCTCTTCTTTGGGAAACATAAAGTTCATGTGCATTTAAATTTAGGTGAGTTAAATAAATAGACTTATAGGTAAGTACCGCCGGACCACATATACTTTTAAATGAACAAAAAGTTTTATACATGTGCTTTTGATGTTATATCAAAATTCGAAACTGTTTTTTATAAAAATTTTTAGTAGTTGGGCTACTCTATTTTTGTAATTACAAGTATATGAAATATAAATTTATTAAAAAGTAAGATTTAATGAATGAATGTGCAATATCATGGCTTCTGTAAGAAACAAAACGCTATCAGAAAATCAAATTATCTGTTTTTGGATATTTCTTTAGACTTTGACTTCCTTTAGATAATACTGATATTCAGTCTTTAATTTTGAAGAGATTCTAAATAATGAATTTCATAATATAATACAAATTGACGATAATAATAATCTTGAGAAGCTATTTGGAATTACCGAACGGGAGAATGAGAATGAAACTGAAAAAATTGAAAAAAGGGAAGATATTGAAACTTCAAAACTTCAAAAGGAGATACAGAAACTTCAAAATATTTCTTACCGGGGGCACCATTTCCAGGAATTTTTGATTCTAATATACCACGCAATGGATTTTTTTTATATTTGTTGAGGATGAAATTGGGATACAATGATTCCCAGTTGGAAAGATTACTGACACATTTCTTATAATCTTGGTTGTTGGTAAAACCCTGAGTCGGAATAGATTCCATCAATACCAAATGATAACGAAGACCTTATCAAACTAGGACCAATGATGAATAATATTCATCATAATGAATTCTAAATAAAACATTTAATTCTGTTTATCATGGAACATAAAGCAGATAGCAATACTTCTTTTTAAAATATCTAGCTTAATCAACTATACTTCAAGGTCATTATAAAAATTTATTGAAAATATATATTTTAAGCTTCAGGAGACACACATACTCACGTAATGAAATAGCAACAAGAATTGTTCTTTATTATTCTGGTAAAGGTAGAAATAAGAAGTACAGTAATTGACTAACTTTCCAGTTAATGTAAATCATAGAGACTGTAATTACTTTTTTTTTTATCTTATGTTTATATAGGTAATATGTGAAAAAAAAAAATGCTTTAGTGTAGTACACTTAAAAAGCTCCTTTCGAAATTTAAATAATCAATGAATTGTTAAGTTTCAACATTACTACAATGCTAACTTAAATAATTCAAGTTCAATAATAATCGTTGAGAAATTTTCTAGATAGAAATAAAGCTTTCTATTCTTCCCTTTATATTATAATTTATGTACATACATAAAATAGATGTATGTATAAGAATTATATGGAATAAACATACTTATCTGTACATTAATATATCATAATATAACAGTATTTAGACATTGATATAAAAAAATGATTATAATATTATAACGTTATATTAAATCTAGTAAGAATGTTTTGCATTTGTATTGCATAATATGTACACCCAACTAATAGTAAATGTGTAAACATGGCAAATTTTTTGCAGGCACGTGCATAAATAATGCACTTATGAGTATTTATGTAAATAAAGTTGACTAGAATAAGAGACTAATTATTATATAGGTAACACAAAAACAAGAATAGCTTTTTAATTTCGCAACATTAAATTTAAAATATATCAGTTTTAATTACAATAATTACATTATATTTTATGTAATTAAAATATTATATAAAAAAATAAGACAACAGCATTGCATTAGATATAAATTTATTTTATGGATCTTTAATGAAGAAAATATAGTATATATATTATAGTAAGTTGTCTTTTAAGTAGCTAGTTACATGGTCATAAAATTTTAATTTAATATAGACGAAATAGGAAACTATTTCGTAGTAGGCGTATTTTATTTTTATTTTATAAACAAAATTTTTTTCTATTAAGTTGAAGTTTTAAAAAAAAAGCTTATTATTTAAAAAATTATGTGTTTTTACGGTAACATTTCTGAATTGTACGTTTTTCAGCCTGATTTGATCCGGAAATATAATTATCCAGCGGAAATTCATGATGTTTTAACTGAAGATGGTTATATACTTGAAGTGCATCGAATCGCGAACCCAGGTAAAACTCCAGTTTATTTACAACATGGTTTTGTCAGTTCTTCGGGTGAATTTGTTCTTTATGGATCAAAAACTAGTGCTGGTAAGAAAATATATTTGTTCGGTTTTGGTTTTTTGAAGAATAAACTTAATATGTAGGCTTACTGTTTCCTAAATTTTGTGTATTTTGTACAATTTTATGATTACAAACTGTAACTGTTAATTTTATTAAAAGTTGAAGTATGTCTTAGTTTAGTTTATTATTTGGGATAAAAAATATTTTATTGAAACTTTGTTAATTTACACAAGTGATGAAATAACATGTAAACAGTTAAAATTGCTGTTTTTTCAAAAATTAACTATGAATATTGAACTTATTATGACCAAATAATTAAGTTTTTCATAGCTTCGTCTCCATACCATCGAAATTTTATTAGTGCATAATAGTTAGCCAGTTTTAGAACAATGCACTTTCAATTTCTGAAAACACGAAACTATCGAATTATTTTACATATTTTATTATAACATACGTATGTATATATCGGCGGTTAAAATTAAATAAAAGAATGCATAGTAAAACAAAGAAATTAATAGTACACTTACAAAATGGCGGTAAAAGATTGTGTAAGTCATTTTTTTTTTGTTTCCTTCACTCCTAGGGAAGCATACGGCCAGTGCATTATATCATGCCCTGATTTCATAGCGTCATAGAGTTAACTGGGTAGGTGACTAGCCTGCTGTAGTTTTATTTATATTAAATATTTAAGTTTATTAATATTTACTGTAAACACAAAGAAATATCTTAATTCGAAAACAGTTTACTTTCTATTAATGGTACGAAAAACATGTGTAATTCTTAGATTTTGTACTTTACTTTTTACAGCTTTCCTTTTACACGATGCAGGATATGACGTTTGGATGTCTAATCATCGAGGGAACCGTTATAGTAAGCGCCACGTAAAATTAAAAATGAGCGATCCAAAATTTTGGGATTTCACGCTAACTGAATTAGGAAAATACGATGTAAAAGCTACAATTGATTATATAATAAATACAACATTATTTGATAAAATACATTACGTGGGTAATTCTCAAGTAAGATTACAATGGTACTGTACTTTTTTATCTTATCTAATCAAAATTTTATTTTTACTAGGGAAATCCTGTCATGGTCATACTTTTAGATGATAAGCCTGAATATTCCGATAAATTGATTAGCATACAAGGTTTGGCTCCAGCTGTTTATTTCGAACATCTTACAAGTCCAGCAATGAGGTTTTTGTTGAATTTGTTCATGAATAACAAGGTGATTTTCTTTTTTAAATGTAATCTTATTATTTACGTGGAAGATATTCACTCATACATTTTTTAAGGCTTATTTTGAAATTGCTGGAGGATTCTTTTTCCCAAATATGGTGGAATTAGGTTACGGTCCAGCTATTTATACGCTTTGTAAGGATGGAACTTTTACTCAGCAGATGTGTGTTGAAATAATTAAATTAACAGTCGGCCCTGTTACTTCAGGAGAAACCAATATTGTAGGTTAAACAAATTTTAATAAGACAAAATAAAAAAAATAATATTTTTACATAAATTAAGACAAGATTACCAGTCCTGTTTGGCCATTTTCCTTCTGGTGTTTCCATAAAGCAAGCGTTACATATGGCGCAATTTGCTGTAACTGGAGAATTCAAGAAATACGATTATGGTGAAAAAGAGAATCTAAAAGTATACGGAAGTAAAAAACCGCCATTTTATGATATAAAAAAAACAAGAGTGAAATACAGTATTTATCATTCTTCAAATGACCTTTTAGTTGTAAATAAAGATGTTGAGAGATTTCACAGTGAATTACCAATGCCACACATGAAATATCTATGTGATGATTTTGGTTTCAATCACGCCGATTTCACAGCTTGCACGCATTGTGATAGGTTTTATAAGGAACGGGTTTTGCCAACTATGAAAATTGCTGAAAATAATAATTTATAGTTTATATTGATTTTGAAGCTGGATTCTGAAAAACTAGTACAAAAAAATACGCTGATTTCAATTAGTGACTATATTATTTAATTTTAATGGAATTGTTAGTGTGAAAACCTTAAATTTAGCTAAGATTGGAATTATTGTATATAAAACTATTATTGCAATGGGATAAGATTAATTTATATTTTAATATTTCAAAAGAATCTCTAATTTTGCGTAAAAATCTAGTTATAAAACTTAGAATTTAAAAGTCTAGTTAAAAATTATGCTATTTAGTTAAAGATACTATAATATATAAATTTTAAAATTATTTTAAAAAAATGTATATTTATATATATATATATATATATATATATGTGTGATATAAATTATATATAATTATTTAGCAGTTATACGATTGGATATTATAAAATTTTTTTACATATACAAATATTTTACAAAAAAAATAAACATATCACGAATTTTTTATATTAAATATATTTTCAAGTCTATGAAACATTGTCTATGTGACATTTGATAAAATAGAAAATATGTGTATAACGATGTCAATATATGGTTTTCCAATGAACAGGCTTTGATACTTTTAGATACAATTTTAAAGGCAGTCACATATAATTCTCGTTTACACAAATCAGTAAAACTAATATGTCACCCATAATACAATATGTGTATTGGTGGTAGGCCCTTAATGATAAAAAATGATAATGTTTCCTATTTAAAATATCCAATTTGTTTAATTAGTATTGTGCGCATGTACTCTAAATAGAATGTAAATTGACAAAATGTGACAAAATATAGGCAGAATAAATTGTGTGTAATACCCCGGTATTAAAAATCTTGTTTAATCTGCTCAATATAAATATATATGGATTGATTTTTTGTGTAATACGATCTACATGGGAATCCCCTTTCACTCTTTTATTAATTTTTAAACTTAGGTAATTAAAAGTCCTAACAGTTTTTATTTTTTTTTAAAAATGTCGAAATTCTCAAAAATTTTATTTCCAAATAGCTTGATTTTTATTCTAACTTTATTTAAAAATAATTTAGGTTTATCTAAAAATTTGAACATTCAACTAGAGGAACATAGTTGAGACTGACTACTCTCTGACTCACTGAAATTTAGAATTATCTCGAAATCCGTGTATGACATACAAATTATCTCTAAAAAATTTGAATCTAAAACTCGTATATATTCATTGATTTTAATTTGTGTATCATCAGGGCAACTTTTTTTCTGATTCAATTACATTATGATAAGAAATTAAATAATTACATCCGCTCAGCCTATGGTACAACCCAAAACGTTTTTCTAAATTGTTAATATAAATGTTTATATTTTCCGGGTAAAAAAAATATTCAATATCGAATTCGAAAAAACTAATATTTCTTCATTCAATCATTGCTTTATATTTTACAAACATTGGTTTTGTATTTTCGTAAAATTTTAAAGGTTTTTTTTCAAAAATATCTCCAAAATAAAGACTTTTTAATGCTACTGAAGTTTTTACAGTTTTTTTCATATTTTCCAAAGTTCACAAAAAAAAAATTTAACTAAAAAATTAATTTAATAGGTAATACATGGTAACTCTCCTTTGATGACAGAACATTTTTGATATTTTTCACTGTAACGCAATTGATTCTAAATTAGATGTGCATATGGCTTATAATATTATATCTATGCTTTTTGAAATTTGGACAATTAAAGCGCAAGATATACTAGACGGGTAAACACGGATTATGAAAAATGTTAGTAAAAGGGAGTGTTAGTGAAAGTACCTAATAAGCTGTCAACATCGTCCCCATACAAAAATTTTGCGATCGATTTGTACCAGCTACATCTTTTCAACTTAAAAAACCATTATATCGAACTGTCTATTCAACATGTAATTAGTCAATTATTATTATAAAATGTTCATAACATTTGCAACTTTTATTGCCTGAAACTTGTACTATTTATACTAAATGAATCATTTCTGTTAAATACAACAGTTTAATAACCCCATTAAGTGATTAAACTTTTGTTTAGATTTTTACTTTTCTATAGTTTAATTAAAACTTATAGTGATGTTTTTTGAATAATTTCTTTAATTTAAGTTAATTGAAAAAGTTTAGATGTTATAAACCAGTCGTCGTTTATTGTGCTTTTCAAAGGAAGATTAAAAAAAAAGATTTACATATATTATTATATTAATTTCTGTAATTAACAAGTTGTCTAGTAAAACCATAAAAAATAAGTAAAGATGCATTGATTAGCTTTGGTTTGCTAACACTTGTAGTTCATTGCTCGCTAGTCAGTAGAAGCATTAGATAGTAATAAAGAGGTAGTAAATATTCAATTGACAACAATTAATATAATACAAAATACTAAAATTAAACAAGCGTTAACATCTGGTCATATTATATGAATTTTATAACTTTCAAGAATAATTTTTATCATTATTCATTTCTTAACGCTTTGTTTTGTAATTGCTCATCATAAAGTGATCTCTGCAGTATTGTAAGTGATATCTCTTCTGGTTTATATTTAGTATTTTCAATTATAAGTACTTTTATTAAAAATATCCATTGGTCTGCTATATAAACGAAAAATTATTGTGTGAGTTTTCTAATAATTTAAGTTGGAAACAATACCGTGAACCAAGTTTTTTTGGGTTTTAAAATCTGAGGCAGCTAAATTAATAAAAGTTAAATAAACATTTTCTCCTTGTACGTAAATTAAATTTGCTCTCTAAAACATAGTATGTTTAAGGTAGACTTCAATTTTGAGAAAGCTTTGTAAGAACTGTTTTTTTCCTTAAAAAAAAAACTAAACGACAATAAAAAATTTAATAAAGCTGACATTTATGAGTTGAAAAAATTTATATTGAATTTTTTCTCGTTATTAATGACATATGTATGTACGTAAAGCGATGTTAAATTGAAATGCCAAACAACTTTAAATATTAAATTTTAATTTAAAATTTTTTAATTCTATTTTAAAAAGTAAAAATCACCTAAAGTTTTCACATAAATGCCCACATACCGATATATTATTACTGTTTTCTTATTTATATTTGGTTAGGCGACACATTATAAAACTGAATTAGAATAAGAATTTGTTAAGAATAAATAATTCTATATCATTGAATAAAGGTTATCTTCGGAATTGCAACTACGACGTGTCAGACACATTGTATCATGTTCTGAAATATCCACAAAGCTTTTACGATGTGTTGTGTTTAGAATTTATTTGATATTGTGAGATCTGCGACCTTGTTGCCACTGAAACATCGATTTTTTGCGATTTAATAAACAACCATACAACCAGTGACCTACCTAGAAAGCGGTAGGTCACTGGTTCGAGTCCAGTTCGGGGAGAAAAATTTTTTAATGAATTTTTCTGCCTTTAACTCGTTCCTTTGATTACGTCATCCATCTGTTCTGCAGTTGCACGAAGAAATTTCCATTAAGTTAAATTATTAGTGTAATAAGCACATTCTTATTAATTTCGCAACTATGATGTTGTATAGTAAAATTCATAACCATACAACTTTTATTTGATGATTTAGAAGAAAGCCTAAGGGTTGGAAGTTGTTCATCTTTTCTGCATAACTAAAGTAGTATTTGAAGTAATACTCGTATAATGTGTAGTTAAAAGCGAAAAATTTCTTGAAAAATTTGGTAACTTTGCAGAAGTAGAAATTGGTTCGATTAAATTATCCGGATTCGTATTCATAACAAATTATTGATAAAATCACATAAGTTTTTGTAATCAAATCAGAGAAAGTCAAAATATACAAGAAATACTTACTACATTGTAGTTAGTTTATCACTATACATATTTTTTTGTAGTATATGGAAATATGGATGTAGTTAGTTTAAAAATCTCTTCACTCTAGGAATTTATATCTTCAATTTTTTTCCTAATTTAATACAAAAGAACTAAAATATTTGCTTACCTGTTATTAAATTGGTTAACTAAAATTCTTATGTGGAATTTAGATTCATTAAAAAGAAAATTGCCTACTCATTTCGTTCTTATTTCTTAAAGTTAACCAATAAAAATATAATCCATGACTTTACACATTGAAAACGGGTATGCCTACCAGGTAGCGATGACGTTTTTTTATGATCATACAAAAAAAGAAAAAGAAAATATTTTCTTCGTAACGCTACTTTGCTGTTTTTCCTTGGTAATTTAATGTAAAATAATCTTCCTTTTTTTTCTTATCCTGGATACACCATAGGTTTATTTCAATGGAGAATAGAAGGGAAAATATTTAAAAACACATAATGCAATCTGAATATAATGATATGGCTCCGAGGGATTTTAGTAAATTAAATTTTATTTAATAAACTTTTAAACCATGTATTCTTGAATCTAACCTAATATTTCTTCCAAATTCCTAAGGAATAATTTAATAAATATATTTTTTTAAAAAAAGAAAGTTGAGTTTGGCATATTCAATAAGTTTTTGTTGAAAACTCCACACTTACTATGTAAAACGAACTATATAATATACATGTATAAATAAATATTTATATTAAAGTAAAACATTGTTTAAAAAATCAATTAAACAATATGTTGAATAAAAAAGCGATGAGAGTGCTGTGATATTTCTCGCTTTTAATTCAATTTTCAATAATGCAGATAAACTGTAAACAATCAGAGATTTACAATTTTGGCAAATAACAGAAAACAAGGAAATGAAGAACAGTTCAGTAAATGTAGCACGACAATGAATTACTCGAGATTTGCAAAATTGCGATTAAATTTCTTATATTCAAAAAATCAGGAAATTGTACCATTATCAAAGTAAATTATTGTATTAAAAACTGGTATTAAATTATTTTACAGTCAAACAACCTTGCAAGCATACACAGTGCTATGAACTGTTGAAAACTTGCTTTCTTCTTTAACGAGACTATTAAACAGTCTTCTCTATAGGGCTTGCAAATATAATAATTATATTATTTTTATATTATGTATTTTTATATTAAACGCGTTTTCTGGCTAAACTAGAAGAGATTGAATGATTTTAAGTGTATTTTATGATCACTGGGAATTCACAGATTCTGCCAATATATTTTTATGTATTAGTGAAGATATGTTCGTGTATATAAACTTGTTATTAACTTGTTATTTTTATTTTGCATAGTACTTATGTGCTATACCAGTAATGATGAATCATTACTCGTTTTTTATACTTTAGGAAAACGTAACCACACTCGAATATACTTGAAACTGAATATTTTGACATTTTAATGTAATATGTT